TCACCGGTGCTACATTCGCAGTAACCCCAACTGCATTCCCAGCTATCCCAGCTGCTACACCCGCTGCACCCGCATCATTCCCTGCTGCCACATTTGCTGCACCTGCAGCATTCCTGGCTGCATTTGCTGCACCCGCAGCATTCCCGGCTGCAACTCCAGCCGCTAGTGCCTCGGCATCCCTTGCCACATTCTGAACATCATCGTTCACTGAGTTCACAGACCCTGCAGCCTATTGATTCCCATTGTTTCTCACGGTTCTCTTGGTATCAACCATCTGCAAGTACAATCATGCCAGTTAGCCGAAGCTAACACAAAACCTTACTGCAAGACCTGCCAGTGAAGAATGGATTGGACCTCCTTAAACCCCATACAAACAAACAACAGCAGTCACCATCAACCAGTCTTAGAAGCGTAAAACGCTCTGATACCAACTTGTGGAAGCCCGACCCGGCTAACTAAACCGCAGCCGTGCCTTCAATACATCCTAACAATCCGTTCTATACTTAGCCAATTTTTTAAACTTTTTCTTTGCATTTATCAATACACAGCAGATTCAAATAACTCATTTCATTCCATTAAAACTTGCATAAAACACTTAAACAAGATTCAGGGTTCTCATAAAACAAAGCACAATGGTTTACTAATGAATACAACAGATCATCTAGCAACCTAAACGATAAACACCAAAGCTCATAAGACCAAAACACATGTCTTAAACATAAAACACCCAATCCCCAATCCATCCATGTACCATTCACGCATTCATACTATCGGATTCAACATCTCACACAATCAATTCGCAATAAACATAACATATATTAAACGGCCATGATCATCTACTCTAACCGCCCAAGATCAATCCCTTTTTAAGAATCATGTCTACTTCAACGAGAATCCCACATCCCCTAAGCTAGTACATGATCCGGATTACCCTGAGGTTAGCTAGACATCATCTATGCCACGGTAGACACCTCACAATAACATAGTATAGAATCGTTTAACACACGCTAACACTAAAACATGCAATCACACAATCAAACATGCAAAACATCAAACCCTAGCAATCCAACAATCCTAAATACTAACCACAGTCACGCACTCACCTTAGACAGGGTTGGAAACAAATTGGTCAGAAGAAATCCCGATGAAACTCGCATGGAAACTAGGATATTTGATCACCCTAAATATCTGGCGGCTACAGCTACGATCTGTTCTCCTTATCTTCGGCTATCTCTCGATCCGTTCACCTTTTTTCGAGCTAAACTCTGTTTTCTCTTGGAAACCCCACAAAACAATCTGATTATCATGAGGTTTCCAATGGAAACTCGACACAAAAGAAAATATCCTTTCACTTACCAGATTCTCACGGACGATCTGAAGTGCACTCGAGTAACTCTCAATTCCCTCGGGTGTTCTTAGATTTTTCTCGACTAAAACCTTTATCTCATGGTAAAACCCTTAACTTATAAGCGGCTCCCGAAGAAATAATTAATTTGCCCTTTTTATCTGAGCCAAACTCTAATTATTCACACTTAGCCAAGAAAATCCCACACCGACTAGGAAAATCCTCATTTTCTTGGTTATTAGTGAACAGCCCACGAGCCCAGCTCATATTTCATCGGCTATTTCCTTTTCTCTCGGCCAAACTGCCTTTACCCAAGTTATTTTCCCTTTGGTCCGGTTATTTCCTATCCTCTCTCGGATAAACTGAACCACCTTGGCTAATTTCCATTTTTCTCTTGGAAACTTTCCTTTTCTCCCGGATACAGTCCACTCTCACTCGGACTAACCCATTTTCTCACGGATTGGGCCAATTTTTCTCGGATATGGTCCATCCGGCTCGGCTATCCCAGCCATCCATTGACTATTTCCCAGTCATCACCTGACCATAGTCTGAACCTCCCAGTTTCCAGCCAATATCTGACTCGTGGCTCGATCATCCCTCGGACAATGTCCTGTCCGCCTCGACAATTTCTAATTTCCTCGGATACGGATGCTACAGGTTTCGTGGATAGATTTATGTGAATGGGTTTTTTCTGGTAGACAATCTTCTCATATATCACAGTTTCATCTGAAGATTCATTTAATAATTTGTTTTTTTTTATCATCATGTCCATGGTAAATCATCCACAAATTCAAAATACAATAATCCATATGTGCAAAGCCTCATGAACACAGTTTTCTGGATACAAACTAACATTGAGAAATATATAAACTTAATTCCCCGTGTATAGAATTTCTATGGATACAAATGTACTTGGAACTATGCAGCGGGTTTGTAAATGTTGCCTATGGATGAAGGCGCGTGGACTGGTATGTAGAATATAAAAAATAAAGAAACACGATGGAGGGATGCAGTGATGGACAATTGATAATGGATAGTGTGTGATGGACAACAAGCCCAATCAAAAAGTCAAAATTGATGATTAAAAATATTTTTATTTTTGATTATGTCCACATGACAGCATCCATAAGAAAAAAATGACGGGATGTGGTGGACAATAAACCAAATCAAATAATGGATGTCTCCTTGATTCCAATTTCTTTTTATCTTAATTAAACAAGATTGCATTTGCTCTAGAACCTAATGGAGAGTTTGTCCATGAGAAAGTGTCCATGGTCATTGTCCATTAGGTTTTGTACATACATTTGGACATAAATATATTGGTGTCCATGAAGTACTATCCACAAAGCACAGTCTACGGTCGGTAAAGAGACAACATAAACTTAATCAAAATCCAGAACATTTGCTACGTTACAGATATACGATAGTTGTTTATGCATATGTCCATAAAGTTTTGTCCACTATGCACAGTCCACGAGCAAGGAGCACGAACTAGACATGATATGAATAAAGGGGATCAGTAGCTTTCAGCAGTCTCGATGTTAGGAACCAGACATCCATTTTACCAATTACACATGTCTATGCATCCATATTATATGGCCATTCAAGCATGTCTTTATATTCATTTTATTTTATTCAATACAAGACGAAATTCATCTATGAACAACTTGTAAATGTATATCTTCATTATATTTTGGTCTATACCAGATTATGTATATTCTCAAAATAAAAAAGATTGCTTTTACAGTAAATAAATAATAATGTTTTAAATAAAGATGATAATTGAAATGAAAACAAGACTAGAATCAATAAAATCAGCATTTGAAAACTATTTTGACATATATATATTGATGTTTTATATCCATAATGACCATCAAAGTATGTACATTTTAAATGGATATAGACACATCTTATCTACATCGCTAATAGAGAGAATTTTAAACTGAATTTTATATAGACGTAGACCCATGAATACATCTTCATATTCACCATCATATTAGATGGACATAGTTTCATGTACACATTTTCATGGACATCGCTAATTTTAAACTGAATTTTTATGGCAATTTCTAAATTCAATTTACACAGATGGACACATCTTCATGGACATCATTAATCTTAGATTAATAGAGACGATGCTGATAGCTATCGACATGGACAAACAAGAGTGGACATGGTTTGAAGGTATCTACTCATGAACGACGACGGCGAGTTCTAACTGTAACATGATACTAAAAAGGTAAATTATTCAAGATTTATTATAATTAAAAGTACAAAATACATAATTATCTGTCATCTCGTAGATCTGCTAAAGAATGAGTAGATTTGTTCAAAAGTTGCATATGTAGATCTGATTTTATCAAGTGTGGTGGGATTGAAATTATGTGGTTTGGTCAGAGTTATTGTCATCGGCGAAGCTATTTAATAGTTGCTGGAAAAATGAAAGAAGCGAAGTTATTGTCATTGATAATGCTGTTGGATATTTACTGGAAAATGAAAGAAGCGGAATGGAAAGAAGAGAATTCTCTTAGAAAAAATAGTTTTTTCTTTTTATTATACTGAAATAAAAAAATTAACAGAAAATTGAATAAAGAAAAACGTAAAAAAATAAATATTTGTTACTAATTAATTGTAACTTGTGTGAAGAATAGTTTTATTTTTTTAAATAGAAAAAAATGTGTTAATAATTAAAAATATGTTAAATATGTAAAAGAAAATTGAAAAAGTGTTTATAAATATAAATATTTTTTAATTTTATTGATCGGCCCATTTGGATACTGGAAAGCTACCGGGAAAGACTGAAATCATAAAATCGTATGTTTATACGATTTCCAGTATTCTGGTGGAAACCTTCGGCCCATTTGTAGAATAAAACAACGTAGTAGGTCGAATACCATATTAAAGCCCATTTAAAAAAAGGAGCAATAATTGGAGATGGAAGTTACGGACACGTAACTTTTACAGAGCAGGAGAGGCTTTATTGTACTTTACGGGGCCGAACATCTTTTTCTGGCAGATATTTAATTGTTTAAATATTTTAGTACAATACAGTATACGGTTCTATCAAATTCTTTGAAACTTTAAATATGGAAGAACTGATCTGGTTTATATTCTTAATTCAGTTATAATATTTCTTTTTCTTTGTACATATAAATTAGCTAATATTTATCATTTGACAGAAATTTTAGATTTAATTTCGGTTTTTTTTAACTCATCAAGTTGCTTCAGTAAACTAGATTGACTACAGTCAAAAAAAAAAAAAAAAAAACTAGATTGACTGAAAGTAGAAACCAATTATATACTATACTCCTAATTTATAATCTACTGGCTTTAAAAACTTGGTTGTTGGATGAATTATCTCATGAATCAAAAACGAGAAGAAAGTATTGTTATAAAGCCATAAATAAAATCAGTATATATATGTGATATATCTAACATGTATTCATTGATTACGACGAAAACAAAACAAAAAACAACAATCTAATCCTGCTTGATGCTGAACATATATATGCATATTATTAGAATCAAGCTATTTTTAGCGCGATGTATTTTTTAATAATTTTGTTCCATAATATGCCAGAAATGGGAAAAAGTTAAGAAAATACATTAATGTATAAAAAAAAATATTTTATTAAGAAACTTTTAACTTTATAGGACCACGTGAAGGAATCTAATGAGTAGACTATGGCCCCTGTCCCGTACCGTAGCCTTAGAGAAACTGTTTTGAGTCAAAAGCGAGCAACGGCGCTTAAAAGGATTTGACCGCCGTCACGGTGGTGTGAACAAAAGATTGAGCCATGGCAGTCTCCGTAATTAAAACGACTAAACCGAGGGTAAAATAGGAAAATCAAAGACTATTACGTCACGTGCGAGCCGGAACATGGCACAATTGGCAGACTACAGCAACCAAGTGGTCAGCTTCAGGTTTTTATGTACCAAACAAACAAACAAATATAGCTTTCACCGAAAAACTCACCGGAAAAACAAAAAAAAACTCAGGATGACGACGACGGAGGCGCAAGCGACGTTGTCGATGGAGTCGTTACCTCTAGGTTTCAGATTTAGACCGACGGATGAAGAACTCATCAATCACTATCTGAGGTTGAAAATCAACGGCCGTGATTTAGAGGTCAGAGTCATCCCGGAGATCGATGTATGCAAGTGGGAGCCATGGGACTTACCTGGTGAGTTTATCTTCTTCTTCCTCGGCGAATTTTCAGAAACAGAGCTGAGAAATGAATGCTTGAGAGCTCTGGAATTTTGATTTTGTTGAATTGAGAGTGATGAGGGTTTTTTTAGGGTTTTTTAATTTGATTTGATTGTAGGGCTTTCGGTGATTAAGGCGGATGATCAAGAGTGGTTCTTCTTCTGTCCTCGTGATCGGAAGTATCCGAGTGGCCACCGCTCAAATAGAGCCACTGACATTGGATACTGGAAAGCTACTGGGAAAGATCGAACTATCAAGTCGAAGAAGATGATTATTGGTATGAAGAAGACTCTCGTCTTCTATCGTGGTCGAGCTCCTAGAGGAGAGCGTACTAGCTGGATTATGCACGAGTATCGTGCCACTGACAAGGACCTCGACGGCACTGGACCTGGCCAGGTCTGTGTTTCTTCACCTTCTTAGGTCAAATTGTATCTCCTTCTCTTCCTCTAAGCTATATCCATGGTTCAGAGTAAGACTTTGTGTATAAAATTGACTATAATCGAGTTTATGTTGCTTACTTGTATGAATGGTTTATCTTTGATCGTGACCTTTCCTGTGTTTTGGTTTTTAGCATTCTTGTGCTTAGATGTTGATTTCGGTTGTGTTTGTGGAACAGAACCCGTATGTGTTGTGTCGCTTGTTTCACAAGCCTAGTGACAGCTGTGATGTTGCAAACTGTGACGAGATAGAGAATGTGAACTCCACTCCCACCACTACTAGATTCTCTCCTGATGAGAATTCTTCTGAGATGGTTCAAGAAACAGCCACGTCTCGTGTATATGCTCAAAATAGACCAGATGACGCTGAGAGGTGTCCAAGCGACAAAGGTAGTGATGTTAGACCTGAGGATCCAGTGGTTAAAACAGAGAAATCTGCCAATCACGCTGAAACTTCTCGCGACAGAGACCGTGTTTCAGGCAGAAGCCTAGTAGAGGTAATAAGACTTTTTGGATGAATTTCGATTCTCTGTTTGCTTTAAGTTCTGTAACCAGCTTGTGCTTTCTTGTGCTATAGGAAAATGCAAATGCAAGGGACTTGGCACCTATTTGTGGACCGAGCTTTACTCAAATCAGCGACCAAACGTATTATCCAGCACAAGCAAGCATCGGTTTTCCTGCAACAAACATGGATTCGATGTATTCTAGCGATTTCGGAAACTGTGATTACGGTCTACATTTTCAGGATGGTGCCGCAATACAAGATGAGTCCTTGACAGATGTCCTTGATGAGGTGTTCCATAGCCATAATCAATTCTCTAGTGAAGAAGGGAAAGACTTTGCGCTTCCGAATATGATACATTGGCCTGGAAACACAAGACTACTCACTACCGATCATCCGTTTCCTAGAGACGCCGATGGTTTTGGTAGTAATGGAGCTGCTGAAGTTTCTGGCCCACAGGTAAAATCTGTATAAGTGATTTGTATGTTGATGATGATTCACTTTCTTTGGGACTACTGACCATTGTGTTGTTTCTTTCATGTACAGCACTTTGTTCCTGACATTGTAGCTTCAAGATGGATGAGTGATCACCAAGTTGATAGCAAGGAGGTAGTAGACATGCAATCTTCATCGGGATCTTCTCGAACCTTGACGCCACTTCACAGCAACGTTTTAGGGCAGTATGGTTCAGCGTCTTACGCAGCTATAGATCCGTTTAACTTTAATGTCAATCAGCAAAGCCCTGTTGACCGCAACATGAGCCCCAGTGACGTTTCCGGGTTCAAGGATAGGCCTAGGGAGAATCAGACGGATCTTGACTTTGTTGTGAACCAAGGAACTGCTCCTAGAAGAATCCGGCTACAAATCGAGCAGTCGTTTAACAATGAGAAAGAGAGAGATGCAGATAACTATGAAGAAGATGAAGTACAATCTGCCATTTCCAAGGTAGGGGATTCACTCGTGCGGCTAATACTGAGATCTACTTCTCCTTCTCAAGTTGACCATTGATGAAATGTGCAGGTCGTAGAGGAGAACGATGCAAGTTTTCTTGACAGAGATAAGACAAGAGCACAGGGACATGAAAGCTTGTCGGAATCAGCTAATTTAAGGACTCAGGGAACAGCTCATAGGAGAATCCGCCTGCAGACGAGACTTCGGAAGCTTCCTGTAACCCCAAGAGACCCAAACTGCAGTAAAGAAGAAGCAAGCCATAGCAAGGTAATATAATATTTCTTTGCAGGTTACACTAAACATAATCTTAACAAGAAAACATTAACAAACATGATTGAAACAATGGGAGATGCAGGAAAAGGAAGATGTACCATCGTCATCGTCATCATCATCATGGCAGAAACAGAAGAAGCTAATGAGGAGCTTAGTGCAGTATAGTAGTATGGTGATAGTAGTGGCGGTGATAGTTGTTTTAGTAGGAATATGGAAAGAGTCGAGAGATGCCAAATGTAGCTTCTTGTTTCATCAATTGGATTCCTTTAAAGGCATGTTTAGCTCTTGATATATAGATTTATTCTCCATGTTTTTTTTTGTTTGTATAATTAATCATGTTTTAGTCTGTTTTTTTGTATGTTCTTTTTCTTTTCTGTGTAGTGTTTGAGTGATAAAGTCCAAATTCTCTAGAATCATTAACAAGTAGTTCTCTTTTTTCCATTTTCGCAGTTCAAACTATTTTTAATTGTGGCCATGACAATAAATCAATAATTGATCCTAGTTGTAAACGAACGTCTTACTCCTTGGAAACGCTCTAGTTTGAGAATGCTCTATATTGGTTACCTAAAGGATAGTGCCATTATAGTTGATGAGTTCAAGATGATTGTGGCGTTTAAACACTAATTAAGAGCTAAAAGCTTAATGCTAAATCCCTAAACTTTATACATATGGAGGTTATATTATTTATTCCCCAAGTTTAACTCATCAAACGGACAAATTTGTTATTAAGTGAGTTTTAGATACATTGAGCTAATCCTGCGGTATCATTTATTTGCTATACGCCAATGTTTTTAAATGAATAGGACAGCAAACCAGACTACTTATTTTGTAGTAGAAGCGATCTGAATCCACCCGGGAAATACATTAATGATCTTTTATATTGGGTCTGACTAGTATGTCAGATAAATAACAGAATAGTAGAATAACTGAAAAATTAATAGCAGAATGAACTGAATAGAATAATATTTTAGCTGAATAATTGTGAAACGCTGAAAAGCTACTTTTAGCAGATTAATTACGTTTTGTTTTTTTAGTTATATTTTTAACACGCTAGCGGAATCACGTTTCAAAAATATAAAAAATATAAAAATGTGAAAACGTGATGAATAACATAAATGGTAAAAAATAACAGAATCAAGTTTTTAAAATATAAAAACGTGAAAAAGCTGCATACCATTCAAACCCATTATTATAGATCATTTTCTCATTTATAAATATAAAATCAGTAAATTTATGTCATGTGTTAGAAATATGATGTCTAACAGTAATAATAAAGTTTTTGCAACTTCTGTTTTTTTTTTTTTTGATTAAATTGGAGGAGAGAAAACATCCATCGCTTGGAAATAAAAGAAACAGTGAAAAAGTTATAACTTATATGATAAAGGTAAACACCATATGAATTTAGCTTTACAATTAACTTTAAAATTTCTCTTTAAACTATCACATGGCCGGTTTACTAAATGCATGATTAAGAGAATTTAGCCTGTAACCGGACTAAAATAATAGTCGAATCCTCCTAGGTTTACATGTTGTTGGACCGACTAGTCCAGAGTAAATCTCAAAAATATCAGGTTTAAAGCTTTGTCCGCATCCACATCTGCCTCCGTGCATGACTATCTAAAGACAAAAACTTGTCCTCATATGCAAGTAACCAAATGGTATGACCTATACATACAATAGTATATTATAGCTAAGAAATCCACTGAACACACCAAAAATATAGGTCATACAATCAATCTAACCTAGTGAGTAGTGTGACCTACGTATATAATCCAATTGATTTTCATAGTTTCAAGGACTTCATCAATGAGGTTGCATGCAGGTTTAACATTAACCGTTACACAGATTCTGACACCGTCCTGCGTTTCGAACTTAAATCTACGGTTAAAACAATGAAGTGGACCCCGTTAAAAAATGAAATGCTTCCATACCCATTATGAAACCAACCGTTAAATTAATCCTCAAATACAGACGAACTATTTGTAAGTTTTTAAAAAAAAAAATAATAATCATCACTCAGTGCCTTTATCTTCGTAAAATCAGATCCAAACAACCATTTTAGGATTTAGTTTAGTAATCGATAATTTATTTTATTGTCGTTACATTCAAGGGATGTAGCTATTAAATGACATAGGAAAGAAGATAGAGAGATCGAGCGGATAAACATCATCCAGTTTTGGGAGTGGGTCCCGCACAATAAAGAAGTGGCCAGGTGCATATCCAATACAATGTGCGTTTTTTTTTGTTTCTCCTCAACACTTGTCTGTTTTTTATTAGGTTTTATTCAGACCAGACGACGATCTTTAAAAAACAAAAAAAAAGAAAGTAGACGGATTTTGTCGCAAAAGTTTATAACTTATATCGAAAATATTTGCAGTGTTTATGAGAAAGGCAATACAATTAAAAAATTCAATAGTTTCCCCACTTTTATTAGTTTTTTATTAATAAACTAGTCTAAAAAAATTCTATAATGTAAATAAATTAAAAATCTAAATAATTATAGAAAAAAGAATTTCAATTTTGTAATATAGTGTTTAGGAGAGAAGCAATACAATTAAAAAAATCAATAGTTTCCCCACTTTTATTAGTTTCTATTAATAAACTATTCTAAAAAGTTTCTATAATGTAAATAAATTAAAAAATATAAATAATTATAGAAAAAAAAATTTCAAATTTTCAATATAATAATTGCGTACTGTTTACCAAAAAAACAAGGGATTTTGAGTTAATCTGTAATTAATTTGTAATGCTGGTTTAGACATTTATTTTTGTTTTTTAAACAACTGATCATTTAAATAGGCAAGTAATTGTTTTTTGCTTTTATGCTTATCCAGTAAAATCACTAATTATAAATGTTAGTCAAACAAAAAAAAGTCTTGATTTTGTTTATAATATAGCAACCAAAATCTTAATTAAGAAAGTACAAAACCAAGAGCGGACTCAGCGGAAGACAGTAGAAGATACCACCCCTAGATTTTACTTCTCTTCTCCAAGTACTATATAACTAAATACAATTGTGTAAAATATAAAATAAACAAACAAAGAAAGAAGAAGAAGATTCGATTGAGAATAAAGAAATCAAGAATGTTGCTAGTGACTGTGTTGGCGGAGATGTTGAAGGAGTACACGGTGGTTCTCGCCGGAGTTGTGGAGCATCTTTTCTCTCAGGCGCCTTTTCCGAGGAGAATCCGACTTCATATTTTGTATTCTCTTCCTTTTCATAATTCTAATTCCTCTCTCCCTCTTCTCCTTCCTTCTCCTCCTCCTTATTCTCGCACTTTTTAACCCAATGTTTTTTTTTTCTTCTTGCTTACTTTGTGATTTTTCTTTTGACTTAAGTAAGATTTGTAATCCAGAGGCTTTATTGTAAATAAGATCTTTTTTAATTGATGCATCTTTTTGTTGGAAAAGACAAAACAAACAAGTTACAGAGCTATGCTCAAGAAGATTATTATAGTGTTTACTGATACTAGATCACTAGAATTACTCAAGGTGAAGGTTATCATTATCTATGGACTGATCTCGACCGAAGAATTGAGAAGAAGGCTCTGTTTACACCATAAAAACAGCTCTGTTTTTCGAAGTCTCCTCTTAGTAAAGATAAGATCACAAGAGACACTGTTTCGATGAGAAGGTCTCAAACCTCGAGTTTTGTGTCTCTGAAATCAAGAGATGTAACCAAAAATTCAAAAAGCTGCTGCTTATTATCAAATTTTAATGATCTGATTTCACGTACATGAGAATTATATACTTTTTAAGTTGATTTTAAAAAATTTAGAAATTCAACCAAATCGAAAATGCGAGATTTTCTTCGAGAATGTCCCAAGAAACTTGCTTATTAGGCATCAAATCGCATTGTTGTAGCAAATGATAGTATTAGGTAAGTTAGCACTATAACAGAGAGAAAAGATTATGGGTTTTGACCTTTTGTGGGTTGGCGTAAACTCTCAAGAAGATCAAACGTATTTAAGATTTACAAGGAGATTAAATATTATATTAAGATTTAATTTTTTTATGTGTGGAGTTATGTATTTTTTACGTCTTAAATGTTTTAATTTTTTTTTTTTTGGGTCAAATAAATAGTTTATTTTTTTCTAAATAATATATGGGTATTACAATTTTCAGATGGGATATCCAAATCATAAAACCATCACTATTTATTCACTTTTTTATTATCCGTTTCCGTAGAACATAATCTAGAGTTAGAAAATTTTAGGGAAGGAAATTCCTTTCCTATCTTCCAAAGACTTAATTCATCCATTATAAATATTTGCAAAACCTAGACAGTTTTACATCTAAGGACTACATATCGCCCCCCCCCCCCCCCCCCCCCCCCCCCCTCCAGAAGATGAATCTGAAAGGCTTAGCTCTACTATTTGAACGAACACAAACATCCTGTAAGCAACCCGTAATTTTCTCCCAGACAATTAGCTCTACAATAAAGGGGAGAAAACCGGTATACAGTCCAACAGAGAAAGTAGCTGACAATGCGGCAAAGAAACTGATTGCTGGCTTGGTTCAAAACCCACGAAGGCTGAAAAAGGCGGAGCCAACCAGAAGACTTCGTGCGAGTAGATCAGAAAACGAAGTCGAGCGGGAAGTAGACCCCACTTCCAAAGCAAAGTCGGTTCAACAGCCAGAGCCGCCACTCTCAAACTGGCTCATTCCAAGATCTCCGCCCCCTCACCGGTATCGAAGAGGGCCAGGCCGACCATCTAAAGTGCAATGCTTTAGCCGGTCAAAAACCTGGCTTCGGCGTGCATTGGAAGTCGTCACCCAGTCTAAACGGAGGCCCACTCGTGAAGTTAGGAGAATAGCCATAGCCGAAAAAGTCTTTAAACCCAGCGCACTCTAGCACAAAAGGCAATTTTTTTTTTTTTTAGCGTTTTATAATAAATAGTTTCAAATTAAAAGTTATATTAAATATTAACCAAAATTGTAAAGAAATTACCAAAATATAATATTTGACAACAAAAATTATAATAATTTTTTGTTATAGAACATGTGAAATCATTTTTATAAAATTCTCCGGTAGCTCTCTGCTCATCTCTTCGTTTAATATTGAGGAATTGGTTTGATTATGAAAATAATTTTCTTATGGATGGTCTTGATGCTTGTGTTCATTTTAAATTTTGACATGTAGATGTGTTTATTATAAAACTAGCTTCTTAATTTTTTATAAAAATTGTAATCTTATTTTATGCAATATATTATGAATATATATAAAAAACTGAAATCATAATAAGTATTATATTTTAATAATTTAAATTTATTAATTTTAATGTTATAATCTAGTTATTTATGTGATAATTTTATAATTTATTTAATTTTAACTCGATCAATCAAAATATTTTGTTTACTTTTAGAAAATGACGTGGACATCAATACCATGCTAGCTGTACCAGGGAAGAGGAGCCGTATATAAACTGGCTTGGAGCTAAACATGCTTATACACCAAGGAGAAAGAAGGC